TCTCAAATAGATTTCTATTTGTATCCTTGGCAGAGTCTGGAAAATCTAAGCCCTGAGCAGCACTGCAGCTTCCTTGAATGATTACCCCAGGGCCCATTACCTTCACTCTGTCTGCTAATCAGGTTAGGTATCCTGACCCACCCAGGAGAGGCGCTGGGACAGCTGCAGGCGGTAGATGAATTTTCCTGATAGCACATAATCAAATACAGTGGGGACAGCGGGCTCTCAGAACCAAGTTGCTGAACTTGGCTGGAAGAGGAGAAAACTGGGGTGATTGAATATAGAGCATGGTCCCTGACCAAATATACTAGTAAATAAAGAGTCGAAAACAGTGTTATAACCTGAGGGGTCTTATGAATGTAGGAGTCACCTTTGTGCTAAGACATGCTAATTCAAGTCTCCAGGAAACTCAGACCTAAAGCTCTGAGTCAGGACCTGAAGCCACTATCACAGACCGTTGACCAAAGTCCTCAAGACTTCCTTTATTGACATTTGCCTACAGTGCAGATTCTACCAGCTTCCTATTCCTGCATCCTTAATCGCATCACACATGTAGAGCAACAGGTACTCATTCCTGCACTTATGTGTTCTTCACTCTCTAGTCTTGGCTTTTCACTGCTCCCTTCCCTCTCTCAGCCTGTCCACTCTCTACTTTTTCCTCTGGAACTCAGCCTTACGGTTAATCTTACTTGAATCCTGTCATTTAGTCCACCTTTTTCTTTACAGATTCTTGTTTTAACCAAACTATACCTGATATAGGATATTTAAATATTCTCTGAATAAAACAATGGACTAAAGGCCTGATTCTCAGGCCATGGGGAATGGGGGTGTTTGCCTCTTTCCCTACTGCTCTCTCAGGAACTGCTCATTGTCTTACACTCCTCATACTATCTGGAGAAGTTAGAAAAGCTATCTCCTCACCCCTCATGTACCTTCCAGGCCACTGTTTCTATACTTGATCTCTGGTAGCTCCAGATTTTCAATATAGGAAGGTTTAGGGGCCAGCAGGTGGTGTAGTGGTTAAGGTACTGGACTCTCATGTGGCTGACTGTGGTTTGAGTCCTAGGCCTGGCAGCTTAAAACTCACCTTGGCACATGTACATGTGTGCCCCAAACCCCAAGAGGAGAATAGAAGAAAAGGGATTGTGGCTTGGACATTCTGCTGGGGCGATTTCTTAATTTCTGTCTTTCTGTCTCTGTCTCTCCGGTAAGTATATATGTCCGATAGCAAAAAAAAAGAAAAAAAAAAAAAGAGGCAGTTTTAGGTTAATAATCTGGTAAAGAGGAAGAGTCCAGGAGATTATCTTAAATCTCTATTTTCATTTTAAGGAGTATATTGTCACCCGTTTATTAATACTGGCTTTGGTCATAGGTGACAATGGACTCTATTTGTGAGCTAAATGGACCCCTAGACAGACTTTGATACTACCACTGATGTTTATGTGAAAAACCCTGTCTCTTTGTTGTTTATGCTGAGTATCTACTAATCTGTCCTCCTTCTTAGCATTTTCATGTTCTTCTGGTTCCAGAGTCTACCGTCCATGGTTTACAACCTTAGCCAGTTCTTTTTTAATATAATCAAATATCAAAATGCTTGATTAAGGCCAACTGGCGGCATGGTGATTAAGGCAGCTGGATCTCACATGGCCAACTGACTGCATGGTTTGAGCTCAGACTCAGCAGCCTGAGGACCCAGCAGTTTGCAAAAGTGCGCCGCATCAAAATCCTGAGAGGAGAAGGGATTACAGCATGGCCATTCCCTCTGGGGGATACTTTCTCCCTTTCTCTGTCTCTGGTGAGCGCATGAACCCTGTAGAAAGTTTTTAAAAAACTTGATTATATGTAATCAAGTACATGTGTGGACAATAGTGTCATTGAAACCTAACCTCTTCCATATCCTGAACCTCTCTTCCTACCTTGACCATTTATGCAGCCTCCAAAAGACCCAAAGGTAGAAACAAGATTATGCAACTAACACTAGCATGGTTTTTTTTTTTTTCTTTTTATTTATTTATTTTAAAATTATGTTTTCAAAATGGGTTTCACTGGGCTAAAATCAGTATAACATACAAATGACTTATATTTTTGTACACCGCAATACTAGCTGCATGTTATAATGCTCTTCTGTCTATCTCTTAACAATTTTTTCCAGGTTGTTCCAGTGGAACCTTGTTTTTCTCGACCTCATCTCCTATGCCTTCTTCCTCACAATTTCTTTCCTACATATTCATCCATGCCACTTGGCTTCTTAATTGATTTCCAAGTCACTACAGGTACACCTTACATCCTCCACACCCTATGTCAGCACTTCTAGAAGCTTCCTTACCCTTAAGGATTTTCCAAACCAATCTTGGTGGATAAGGCTTATGAAGCAGTGGATAAAAAAAAAAAAAAAAAAGAGTTACTACAAAATATGTGAGCTGATCTGGCCTGGAATTGTCAATATAGGATCATATAAAAGGCAGTATGAGATGGGTTTTTGTAGGATTAACAGGATTTGAAGAGACAGAAATAAGAGGTAGCATCTTAAGGGCAACAGAGTGAAGAGTCTGAATATCATCAAGCACAAGAAGATGTAGTAACTCTTTAAAGTGGGTAAATGTAAAGAAGTTTTGGGAATTATAACTGCAGTATTTTCCTTTTCCTCCTATATGCATGTTAGTGTTTCTTATGGGAGAAAGAGCATGATAGCTTAGCAAAATTGCTCACACAGCATATTTTAAAGCAGTATTTCCCAAAGTACGTCTGTGGAAAATTAGTCTCATGGAATGCTCTGTAGAAAAATAATAGTGATAATTTAAAGAAATGTTGAATGTTCCTTTACCTCCCTTGAATATTCACAATGCATATTAGTTTATTTTTAAAAGTTTTGAATTGCTCTTACAATACTAAACAAAACTGACTTCCCTGGGAAAAGCAGGCCTCCCCCATTGTGTCTCTATAATATCATACTCCTTATTTCCCGTCAAGGAAGTTTTCAGAATCTGTAACTATATTGTCCTTCTTGCCTGTTTTATTTACCATTACACATCAAGACTATACCATGATACCTGAGCATATAACAAGTACTCAAAATAAGAATAAACAAATAAATAAAACTTGTTCATCTTTGTTTAACTTTGCAGTTTCTAAACAATTGAGAAAGGATAATGCTGGATATCGAGCAAAGTTCTCGTAGACCAGGACCGTTTTGGATCCTCTGCATTTTGTGTCATCATTCTCCCACAGTCACCACCAGGGTTCTTGATGTTATAACTTTTCTCTTAGGCATCATTCTTGTTTATTATTTTTTGAAGCTTGAACAATAGTCTGATATGCCCAAATATCTTGTTTGTATATTTCAGGCAAAGGCTGCCACCTAAAAATGTTTACTACTATCGCTGCCCAGACCATAGGAGAAATTATGTGATGTCCTTTGCATTTTGCTTTGACCGAGAAGAAGATATTTACCAGTTTGCTTACTGCTACCCATATACATACACTCGCTTCCAGCATTACCTCGACAGCCTGCAAAAGAGAAACATGGATTACTTCTTCCGGGAGCAGCTGGGTCAGAGCGTGGTAAGGCCAATATCAGGTCTGGGGTGCCGGTTAGAAACAACGACTGAGGGGTAGGGACTTAGCAATGGGTTTTTAGAGAATACGAGTGATGAATATTGGTGCTCCATAGAATATATACTCTGAAACTTTTAATAACTATTTAATTACACCAAATAACAATATAGTAGAAATTATTACATGACTAATAATTATTTAATTTAAAAAATTATTATTCTCATTGTGTGATCCAGTGCTACCCTGGGCATCAGGAAATCACAAAATGAGATATGAGACAGATGGTTATCTTTGTGAATTAAGTTGATAAAGTTCTCTAACAAAGTACAAAGGTTCTGATGAAGCCCAAAAGCTGAGAGAAAAGGAGGCGTCTACTGTGTCATTTTTGTGACACTGTGTGTTACAAGAGGCATGAAAACATTTTATGACTGCAGGTGTCTTAAATGTAGAGTAAATGTGTTTCTTGATGAGTCCAACTTGCCCGCAGTACAGGTTAGTTGTGTGCAGGTTGGTTGTTCTGTCCACAATGTGTTCTGTTTCTACCATCTGTCATTTCCCACCCTTCTTTCCTGCTCCATGTTTAGTTCTCTGAGTCTGGTAATTTCGGTCTTCCATTCCATACTAATTTCCTATTGCTAATATGACAAATTTCCACATACTTAGTGACCTAAAACAGCAGAAACTTATTTTCTTATAATTATGGAGGTCAGAAGTCCAAAATGGGTTTCACTGGACTAAAATTAAGATTTCAGCAGATCCGTGTTTATTCTGGAGACTCTAGGAGAGAATTAATTCATTCTGCTCTTTCGAGCTTCTAGAGGCTGTCTGCATTCTTTTGCTTGTGGTTCTCTTCCACTCTGATACTGACCCTTCTAACTCTTCTCACGTATCAGGATCCTTGTGATTATGTTGGATTCATCCAGAATAATCTAGGCTATCTCAAGATCTTTAATATATTCACATCCGTAAAGTCCCTTTTGTCATGCATGTTTGTATATCTGCAAGTTTGTGGACATCTTGGGGAATGGGATGCATTATTTTGCCTACCACACTTGCCTTTTCTGTTTTCCTTTCTCCCTCTCCTTCCCAAGCCAGGACCTGAGGTTGTTCACATTGAAATGATAGAGATTGCTCTTTGTTGTCATCAGTGCTTTGGTTGTTAATGATAAAATATATTCACATCCGTAAAGTCCCTTTTGTCATGCATGTTTGTATATCTGCAAGTTTGTGGACATCTTGGGGAATGGGATGCATTATTTTGCCTACCACACTTGCCTTTTCTGTTTTCCTTTCTTCCTCTCCTTCCCAAGCCAGGACCTGAGGTTGTTGTTCACATTGAAATGATAGAGATCGCTCTTTGTTGTCATCAGTGCTTTGGTTGCTAATGATAAGCAGGTTTTATGTTTCACTCTTTAAAAAGTACGGGTCATACCCCTAAAATCAACAACTTGAGCAGTCTCCATATGAAGATACTGGTGAAACTGGCAGAAAGTGCTGTTCTTGGGATTCTGATAGATGTAGGCAGAGAAATAAACTCTGCCTAGTGACTGTGGATTCCACAGAGAAGTGAGCCCCACTTCTAAATAAATCTGGAATACCCTATAAAAGAGAGAAATAAAGAAGGTCTGTTTATTGCTTAAGACCAAAATCTGGCCAAGATGATATTTTTATAGTCTCAGATTATCTATGCAGTATAATTTTGCTAAATATCTTCCCCCTACTTCCACCTTCTTCCCAACAGTGCTTCTAGTGGGTGCCATTTGTATCTGCTGCCTACATATTTTAAACTGAAAATTGGGACACATAGTATATCAGTCAGCATGCTAGCAAGAAACAGATGGCAGTCACAAATTAGGATAATTTGAGGTGGTTTTAATAAATGAGCTATTTACAAGGTGTAGGCAGTGAAGAGAAAACTACCCAGTATAGTGAAGCTCCCTGGGGCTAATAACAGCACCAAGAGTATGCATGAAAAGAATCGTTACCAGAACCCAATAGTAGGGAATCATTTAGTGGGAGGAATGGTGAGGAATGGTGTCCTCGAATTAAGGAACATAGTTAGCCTTAGACGACCTTATTCTTTTACTTCTCTCTGATCAACTGTTAAGGGGTTTCTATTGGCCAAACCAATCAGAAGCCAGAAGACAAGGGATTGTTGTAATCCATACAGATTAACATTCCAGGACAATGAAAAGGTATAGAAGGCAGAGAGTGAGTGTGGAGAGGCAGATAGAACACAAAGTGTATACCTGGCCCAATCAATAATATATTACTGACAACAGTGAGATTATTTGAGATGAGCCTGTCAGAGAGATCTTGAAATGAATGTTTGTCAGACATATGAATTGTAATGTGATTTAAGTGAATGAGAAGTTCCTTCGATACTTATGACTTTTTAAGGGCAGGATCTATACATTATATTCTTATATCCATTCCAAGTCCCTTCTAGATTTATGCCAGGCAAAAAGCGGATACATATTGAATGGCCATTGAATGAGTGATTGAATGAATGAAAGAATGAAATAAGATACATATCTGCAGGCAGTGTGAAGAGCTGAGAGCATCAGAAAGCTGGTAAGAGGTATAAGATAAGCTTCAAATAATAGATATCCAAAATAATAGATACCGAAACTAATAGCAACTTAAAAAAAAAGTGTATTTCTGTTCTATATGAAAACCTAGAGGTAGATAATCCATAGCTGATATTGTGGCTCTGCTTATTTAAAGCTTCAGGAAGTCAAATTCTCTCAGCTTTCACCTGTGCCATCCCTGGGGGATGACCTTTACTCTCATGAAAGCCTGCCATACATGGAAATGGGGGAGGGAGTCAGCAGGTGGTGTGGTGGTTAAGGTCCTAAATTCCCGCATGGACAACAATGGTTCAGGTCCTGGACCTGACGGCTTGCTCTCTCTCTCTCTCTTTCTCTCTCTCTCTCTCTCTGTTTAGTGCCTGTGCCCTACAGCAAATTTTTAAAATAATAATAAATAAAATTTAAATTTAAAATAATTCTTTTTTCTTTTAATTTTTTATATACATTCAATCATATTATTTAGCTTACAAGGTGAACATTTCAATATGTGAACATTTCTCGCCAGTCCAGTTGATCAGAATATCTTCCACCAATAACACCACACCTCCCCATCCTGTCAATGCTCTGTCTCTGTATCCCTCCTCCAAACACAAGAGATGGGGGTTAGTGCCAGAAGTGGAGTGTGTGGAGAAGAGAGACATAAGGAAGTTAAAATAATTCTTAAAAAATAAGGAAATATGAGAGAAATGAAGAAGCAATTTTGTAGCACTTTCATTTTATAGAACTCATATCCACATTTACTTTAAGGAAGGATAAGAAATAAAATCTTATTCTGCGGCCATGTTCCAGCTAAAAGTTGGTGGTCACATAGCTGTGGATAGGTACTGGAAAGCTTGAAGTCATTGACAGAAAGCCTAAATTCTGCTTCCAGTGCTAATATGAAAATAATTCTATGACTTTGAATGCTACATTTTCTTTCTGGGCACAATTTTTTCACCTATGAAATGAGAAAATTGGACTTGAATAGATATTTTTAAATTATTCTTTGAAGAATTCCTCATTTAGAGAAAAAAATAATAATTTGAGACTCCTGTCCTATGTCAGATGCTGTGAGATGCACTGTGAGGATGTATAACAAGTTTAAACAAGTCTTAATATACTTTCAGAAATGTAGTCTATCCCGGGGGTGGGGGGGACATGTCTAAATAGCTATATTATTTAAAAATATATATAATCAAGGATCTCATCAGTTGTTTAAGGAATTAATGGTAAGAATAAGCATCATGGAAAAGATGGACTTTAAGCTGAGTTTCGAAGGATGGGTAGGGTAACTGACTAAAGTTGGGAATAAGGTAGCCCAGAAAGCAGGTATGTCCAGAGTCATTGCATGGTGGTAGCTGGTTAGAAGCCTGACTTGAATAGTATGGGGAATTCATGTTAGGGAGCCCTAGAAGATGAGAATAGATAAGAATATTGGGGCCAAACTCTACAAAGCTTTGCTTATTATATTGAATATTTTCTTCATTCAGATTTAACATAATGGTATCTCTTACTTTATATAGGCTGTTTTCTTTTTTTACAATAATTTTTTATAGAGTAAACAGAGTTTTTTTCAGTTCAGGAGAAAATAATCTAAGGCTAAAAAGACAAGTTTCTTTGCTAGGTACACATAACTAGTTCACACCAGGGCCAAGATTTAAAACCATGGTTTCTAATACCATGTCCTGGCCCTTTGATATATATACTAAGACCCAAATTGATTTTTGAGAAAGGCATCAAAATTCAAAGCACCATCTTAAGAAAGTAAATTTATGAACTATGTATCTGACAAGGGTTTAATATTTAAAATATATATGATATTCAACTCAACAGCAAAGAACAAACGAACAAAAATGGGCAAAAGACCTGAATAGACATTTTTTCAAAAGAAGACGTACAAATGGCTAACAGGTATATGAAAAAAATGCTCAGCATCACAAATCACTAAGGAAATATGAATCAAAACTACAATGAAATTGCTATCTCGCTACAGTTAGAATTGTTACTTTCGAAAAACCAAAAGGTAACCAGTACTGGCAAAATTGCAGAGAAAAGAGAACTCTTGCATACTGTAGGTGGGAATGTAAATTAGTACATTATGGAAAACAGTGTAAAGTTTCCTCAAAAAATTAAAGATAGAACTACCACATGTTCCAGCAATCCCACTACTGAGTATATATCCAAAGAAAAGGAAATCAATGTGCCAAAGACCGATCTGCACGCTCATACTTCTCACGGCACTATTCACGCTCATGCTTCTCACAGCACTATTCACAATAACCAAGAATAGAATCAACCTAAGGTCCATCAACAGATGAATTGATAAATAAAATGTGGTATATGTACATAATGTAATACTACTCAACTATATAAAAGAAAGAAATCTTGTCATTTGTGATGACATTGGAAAGTCTGGAATGCATTATGTTAAGTGAA